CATTTCCATCTGAGATGAGTCCTGGCGTAATTCTGTAATATTAAAACAGCAACAACCAAAACTAAATGTAGGGTCTGTGCTGTGTCCAGGTTTCTGAGGAGACGAGAAGAGTCCCATCTATGTCCAAGGCCTGTCTAGGGCTCCCCACCTCTGGAGTTCTGTCCAGTCTCCGGCTCTCAGTCTGGGGTACCCTCATTCGTCTTCTGTGAGTGTGCTGCAAGCACTCGTTATCTAAGGAAAGAAAGAGCAGGTGCACCTTGCATGTGCCCTACAATTCATGGAGAATTCACTCACAAGCCGAGGGTTCCGAGTCTGAACTGTAGCAACACTGAGAGCACATAGGGTGGACACAGTTAGGTTTGTGTCTGTGTGGCTTTGAGAAGTTCACTGCATACTCCTATCTTCTATTTCTTTATCTGCACAGTAGGGATAAAATAACCCCTACATCATAGATTTCTGTTTCAAGGCCAGGAGATGATGCACGTAAAGTGCTTAGCACGGTGCCCTGCACCACAGGCTGCTCGGTAGACACGGGTGCTGCTCTGACGCAGACAGCTGCAGAGCGTGTTACAGCAACACTGACTGTTCTCACTTCACCTTCCAAATGGATCACAACTTTTGCATTGTTCTATAAAACCCATAATAGCCTCCATGAACAGATGGATTCTAACCACCAAATTCCAGAGATCGACACCCAGTACTCAAAGTGTTTCACTGAATGAGAAAATGGTAAGAATTGGAACCAAGTAAATGAATCCAAACTCTGTATATAGCTTTTAAAAGGAGATATTTAGAGAGCACACAATTGATTCATGACTCCCCAGGGCTTTCTTTCCTTCTTTCTTTCTTTTTTTTTTTCTTTTCATTTCCAAAGCTTTAGTCTCATCATCTGCAAAATGAGGGCTATAAACAGTATATGGTACCTCACAAGTCTATTGTGGGATCCCAGGGCTTTCTTTTGACCCCATGGTAATGAAGGAAAAATATCTGCTCTAAACATCGGGCATGTTGCAGGACCAGAAACCACGTCAATCAAATGTCTGTAAAGAGCAAACCTGCTCCCAAGGTTGAAGTTCTTTCTTCCCTTCCTCCTTCCAATCTTTCCTTCTTTTTCTTTTCTTACCTTTTCTCTTTCTTTCTCTTCTTTCCTGTCTCTTCTTTTCCTCTTCTGGGAATACTAAAGACCAGTCAGTTTGCTGCTAGATTGTTCCTTACCAACCTGTCCTGTTACCTCATAATAACATCAGTCCTTCAAGGTGCCAGCCAGTGGGAATGGGGAAGGGTTAGATATTAGTTGCAATTATCATTAAACCCATTAGCAGTCTAATCAGAAACTGTTAGAGTAGAAGGTCAGTCTTAAGGCTAAAAGGTGGGGCACAGGTTA